AATTTTTAATATTTTTTTGGGAGGGGGTGGGGCAAAATAATTGAATTTAAAAACAAGCTTTAAAATTATTATTTTTTTGGGGTGGGGGGTGGTTTGAGGGTAGAGACAAAATAAATTGATTTTTTCAACAAAAAAGTAATTGTAATTTGAAGTTGGAAGAGAAGTTTGGAAAATGTTTTCATTAAGTTTTGAAGGGAAGTCATTTTCCTTAAATTTGAGGAAAATGAGTTGATTTGGAAAACATTTTCCAAAACATTTAACCCAACCAAACATGAGAAAATTGGAAAATACTTTCCGGAAAATGTTTTCCTTCATACCAAACACACCCTATATGTTCTCCTACTTCCCAACAATTTCCCCCTTATGATGATGATAAACAATGCTTTATCACACATCAAGATTCTTTGTCACTCATGGCTACTTGGGCAACACTTTCTAGTACACTTCTACTAACAATAAGGTAAGTTAATCTGAGGATATTAGTAATCTTACACTCACACACATCAAGATCTTCATTGAGAAACAAAATAAGCAAATATGTATCTGTTTAAGCCCTTAGAGCCCTAAATCAAAAGCATATGATATCATGAGTATGAGACCGACACAAGCACATCAAAGAGTGAAAAAATGGAGGATAAGGATTGGGACGAAGATTACTAAAGTGAGGCTGAAAGGATTTTTACTACCATCAATAATTTTTTCAGTACGCCCATTGTACACCAGCTCAATCATTATGATCAGTTTCCTTAGAAAATGAAATTTCATCAAGAGAAATATGAGGTCCATCATCAGTTAAGCATATTCATTATATATCAAGGAGACCAGGTGAGTATTTTCAAGCATTAGGACCAACAACAACTGAGTTATGAAGCTCCCTTTCTTTGAACTTCTTTTAGCTGCAACATAATTTTAGTTTTTTTTTGTAACTCTGGTCTAACTCCATAAAATTTTCACTCTTCCATGGTCCTTTTGTTAGATAGCCTTTTCTTGATGACATTTCGAAGGATTACCAAATATAGGTAAGAGATTCATCACATTAATTTTGGTGCAATAGAGATGGGTTTATCGGTAATAAAGGCAAACACCGATAATAGTTTGTTCCCAAGAGATTGTTTCCCCTGAGAGATATCTGGTTATACACTTGGAATGGATGAA